TTTTAACGAAATAGAATTCCCACGAACAAAACAAAATCAAAATAAACCTATTACGAACCTTTTCATTCCATTTATTCCGGGACTTTCAGATCAAATTAAAGGAGTAGGTAAAAAAATTAATATTAGAACTATCTTCAAAACTGAAAATACAAAAAATGTAATTTATAAAATTTCTTGCGAGTGCAATAAGGTAATAATAATGCGTCAAGGTAATTTTTCAAATTAATTTCTCTACTAATTGGAATTTTCTCTTACAGTTCTTGATTACTTTTTGATAAATAATTCGTTCTTATTGCGAAATAGGAGCACTGTTTATCAATCTGTAATAAAAGACGTGAGGAAATTCTGTCTCTTTTAAAGACAAAAATTTTTGAGGCGAAATACCCAAAAAGAAGTTCGTAAAAAATGAATCCGCCTCAACAATATAGAACTTATCTACAAATCAGTATTTGCTTGTCAGAAACTAGTGAAGTTTGCAGGATTTTAGACCGTCGCGAAAGTTTCTTCGCGCATCTTCAGAGCTGGTTATTAGAACTGGTTTGGACACAAAAACACTCAAAAAATGTCTTGTCGAGAAGTTGTGCCGAACTCCTCAATTTGCAGTTAGTAGGAATAGAAGACGGATGGTATTAAGCAGATATGACTAATCGGATCCTAACGGAGAAGAGCTAATCTCTCGAACAGGACGCTGAGAAAGGAGCTAAACGCCAAAGTTGCACGCACTTTAACATATGAGAGTGATGATTGTTTTGTTCTATTGCAGTTGTTTCAAACAAGTTGAAGACAATATTGAGCTTCGCGGTAGGCGCCCTGCTAGCAGACGTTTTCCTGCACTCCCTCCCCGAGATCTACACCATCAATGCCTCAAATGCTGGTAAGAATGAGGGAATTATTTGCGTAAACCGCCAGTTTGGCTCAGGAAATTTAAAAACTAGCCACTGTCCATGGGATGATAGATAATGTTTTCCTTGACCCATGGGGCCCCAACTATGCATTTTGCGAGATAAAACACTATAAATACATTGAGTGCGACCTCGATAGATTAATTGCAACAATGGGGGTTTTAAAACATGTTTGTCCTTGCTGAAGGGTCGCAACAGGCGAGCGGGATGCTCATTCTGTGTGGACTCATCACCTTTATTGCCTTGGAGAAGATGCTCGGTTCCTTTGAAGTGGACGAAAAACGAGTAAGTTGCCAAAAACGAAGCGCTCGTGGTTGGAATGAGTCATTTTTTGTCCTTGCAGGTATCAGGATATCTGAATCTTCTGGCCAATGTCATCGACAACTTCACCCACGGCCTATCATTGGGCGGGGCCTTTCTAGTCTCTCCCAGTCTAGGAGTTCTAACCACCATAGCGATTTTGGTCCACGAAATTCCACACGAAGTGGGCGATTTCGCTATTCTGCTTAGATCAGGATTGACTAGGTGGGAAGCAGCAGGATTTCAACTGTTCACTGCTGGCGGTGGACTAGTGGGCGCCATTTTCGCCATTGTTTGCAGTGGGGCGTCCAACTCAATCGGTAAACTCAACTTTCACCACTTTCAACTCTCACCTCAACCGCTTCAAAATACTTGAATTGATCAAGGGATTTGAATCGATGCAAAAACCAACAGCCTGTTTTTAAAATTGCCGACGTTTCGCCATATTTATTTTGGCATCCTCAGGGCAACGGAACGTTAAGACCCTGAGGACAGGGGCGGATCCAGCTGTAAATTCAGGGGGGGGGGGTTATGTAGAAAAAATACAGTCTTCTGTTGTCTATGAAATTAGAAAAATTATCGTCGTTTTGTGCAAGGGTGGCGCAAGATTATTGCA